GGTACCTCAATACTCTGAATTTTTTCAGGATAATTCAGCAATCCCCGTTCCATGATGTCGGTTCATTAAGGGCACCTTGCTCAGAGTTGTCTGTGACAGCTAAGGAGAAAACAAAGTTGAAAAGTGTTACGGATTTAATTCAATTCTATGAAGTATTTCCACAAAATACATCAGGATAGAAGCTTTCTTTTATTGGTACCTAAGAAAACCCCTTTATCTCCCATCCAACCTCCTCTCTCATAAAAAGACACCAAAAGGGAAGAAGGACCTTGCAGAGCATCTCTCAAATGTCCCCTGCCTCTGCCACGTGCTCTGAGTGCAGTCTTGACAACCTTGGATTAGAGAATTCCCCCAGGGAAGATGTTCCAGACCCTCCAGTCATCCCTCCCATCACCAACCTTCCCCCACTGCTCCTTGCAGAATTCCCAGAATTTGGCTTTGGGACGCAGGATGTGGAGCAGTCCCCAGAGGGGCGTCCTGCAGATTCACTGGGTGGACTTTGCTGCATTTTAACATATTGAGTTTAAACTTCTACTTCCTCTAGGAGTGACAATTTCTTAAATTTGTATAGGACTACTGTTCTGCCTCTTTCTGGTGAGCCCCAAAAATACCAAGTCAGATATCCCAAAGCCTGCAACTGCTTTTTTTTCCCCCAAACAACCTCCTACTGCAATTTTGTCCCTCTCCAGTGTGGAAGAGGAGCTATCAGGAACTTCTGTTGCCAACAGCACTGTGGAAAATTGTTGATTTAGGCTGTGCTGAGGTTTGCTCTGCAGCTCAATAATTCACAAGTGTCCAAATGAGCTCTGCATTGACAGCATTATTGGTGCCCCTGCTAATCCTACAAAACACACCAAACTATAGAGCAGCATTTTGATTAAATTCCTCAACTTTCCATGATCCTAGATGCTGTTTTATGCATGACCTTGAATGCACATAACCAGAAATTTTCAATTCACAGAGACCTTCTCTTTGCAAAATATGGTAAGTGCATCAGGAGCGGGTGTCTAAGCAACAGCATCCAAAATTTAATCAAAGATTGCCTTGGACAACTGCAGAAAGTCAGGCTCTCCCTCAGTGAGATAACTTGCCAGAATACTCATTGCAGAGGTTGCCAGAGAGGTGACTGAATACACAGGCTGAAATTACTTTCCTGGGCTTTCCTTTGTTCCACAGAGGTGCTAAAGTTTTTAATATTACAGTTTATTGTAGATGTCCTTTTAGTCCTCAGCACCTCAGGTCAGCTGTGGTGGATCCCAGGGCTGAGACCTCCAGTGGTGCTGAGGAGAAAACAATCCCTTAAAGTCCCTGAAAAAAGGGTACCAAAGATTCCCACACCCCCAGGGCAGGGAGGAAACTGCACCAACATGGGGAGCAAGGATTGGGGGTTTTTCCCCAGCAAAAACAAAACAGGCACTGGGGGACATTGATGAGGGAGTCACTGCTTTTCCAGCATAAAATAATGAAGGAGAACCAGCTTTTCCACATAAAATAATGAAGGAAATGTAACTTTTAAACCAACTACAATGAAGTCATGGCAGCCCAGGTGAGCACCCTGGGTGCCACACTGAGCTTTGCCCCACGGCTGGTCCAGCCAGCACCTCCCTAAAAGCAGCAGATCCAATTTTCCATCTCCAGGACAATACAGCCTCGAAACACCAAGCTTAGCCGGGAAGGTGTTAGCAAATCCAAGGGAATTTGGATTTCTTTATGAGCTCCTCAACACATAAAACCACTCAAGCTCTGCAAGAAGCTGCTCTGCTCATCTGGCACGGAGCTCCCGCAGGTTCAGCGTGCAAAACCCGCTTGGAACAATAAGCTGGAACGCAACAATTTGTATTGTGAAACTCAAATATCTTCAATATTTACATCTGCTGGCCCCAAATCTCCACTCTGCACCCCTTTTCCCAGGCCCTGTCCCTGGCAGGAGCTCAGCACACAGTGGCACTGATGTGCAGGGCCAGGCAGCTGCCAAAGCACGGAGAGACCCGGAGCATTGGAGTATACAAACCTTCCAGCCAGCAGGCACCTCCAGGAGCAGCAACCTGGAGGGACAGGGACCATGGAGCTGTGCTCTTTCACAGTCATTCAGGGATGTTTCATCCACTTGTTTATTAGTATTCCACCCTAAACACGCACTGAAGCAACTGGATGCTAAGAAAGGATGGACTTAACGGAGCATTCATTTTTTTTTTAATATTTTTTCCTCCTCAGCACCCAGGCTGTTTCAAATTAAAGAGAATCCGGCTTCAGGAGTCGGTGCTATTTTAATCATTCCAATGTGTCCAGTACAGGAGATGAACTCAAAAGGTGAATATTAAAAGTAGTTGTGGAATTCAGTCATTTCACGAATGAACACATAATAGCCAAAGGCAAAACCGGAAGGCAACTTCACTTCCAGTCAGTGTTTTCATTTTATTGAAACCAGATTGGAATTCCTGGAAAGAAGCCTACATATCACATCTTTAATACTAATTTTCATATACTTCAGTAAAACTGTCAGGGTGAATCAGTTGTTGAAGAAAGCTTCCTGTATAATTTACAGATGTACCTCCCTGTAGCCTGCGATTCCATCCTGAATCAGAAATGTGGTTTTGATCACGCTCACACATTTCCTCTCACCTGTGCAGGTTTGCCTCGGCTCTAATTTGATTATTAAAATGGGATGTTTTATGGCAAAGCTGGTGATAAAAGCGAGCCAGCTGCTGTGTACCAGCCAGGCTTTCCTCACGTGCTGCTGTGCATCCCCACGTACACCCCGCAGCAGAGCTGCAGGTCTGAACACAGACACACAGCCCCAAATCCATCTCCTCAGCGTGGAGCAACGCTGGGAAACCAAACCACTCTGCCTGCTTGATGAAAACACCTCCCTAAAAACCATCAAAGAATCGATAAGTGGCATTTCCAACGGGAGATAACTCCAGCCCTTGGATGGTGGCCCTAAGAGCCTTTCCTCCTAAGCCCCACCACAAACCCAGCTTTGTGTTTGAAGCGGGGGCCAGCGGGGCTGGGTGGCCACCAGCCACAGAGGCCGCTCCGTTTTGCACTGATAGCTGCTGGTTTTTGTTTCCCCACGAGCTGCCAGGCTGCCAAATCCTCCTGCCAAATCCCTTCCCTGCAAGCTCGCATGAGAAAGGAGGGCGAAAACACTCGGGAGCCCCTCCGTATACTAATTCCCTCAAGTGCTGCATTATTCCCCCCCTGGGAATCAGCAGTGGGATGCGGGGTTGTTGTAGGGTGGCTCCAGCTTTAGGAAGTGTCAGCACTTCCATTAAAGCTCCGTTAATCTGGGGTTTGTAACTCATCTCTAAAAATTCGCTCAGGCTGCAGGAACTTGGCAAGCAAGGAGCGTGTTGTGGATTTCTGTTGTTATCCCCCCTCAGTTGTTAAAAAATCCATGGTTTGGCTGCTTCTGAAGCATCTTTTGACATGTGTATAAAATGTTTATTAGGTTTAGACATTTTTGGGCTTGTAAAACTCAAAATTATCTTCATTATTAAAAAATGAAATTTAAGGAAGCTGGAGGGCATCTCCAGAGACTTTGACACAAATCCTGATGAGGCCACATGTATAAATAAGAGTTTTCTTGTCCCAGACCTGTCTCCACCCATGTGCTTCACAAAACCAGGGCTCTGCACTGGCACAGGGAAAATTCTTTGGGAAAAGTGAGGCAGCACCAGGTGAGTTGGTGCAGCCATGGACAGGATGTGTTGGTGCATCCCAGTCTGCTCCACAATTGGGAAAAGTGCCCCCTAATCCCCTCCCCATATTCCAGCATCACTGCATCCAGCCACAGGTGATAGAAAAACCTGAGCAGAACATTGAAATGTGGTATTAAACATTGCAGTCTGTACTTAAACAATTGAATTGTGGGGGAGAGAGGACAGAAAGTGCAGGAAAATAGCTGAGGAGCAAATGGTTAACCAGCCAAATATCACATACAAGGTGTTCCTTCAGCCAAAACCTCAATTTGGCTTTTTGGGGTGAAGATATGTTGTGTTCTGGCACTGGGAGTGGGGTAGTGGTGCCCTGGCATCCAACTCCCAGCACCTCAACACAGCAGAGTGCTAACAGTCCTGCCCCAAAATAAATCAGAATATACCCAATCCAACTTCTCTTTGCATTTGAATTTCTGTCAGCACCATCTATTTCAATCCTTGATGCTTTTTGGGTTTTGTTCCAAAATATGGGATGATTTTCTTCTTTCCAGCATTAAAAAAGGAGCTTTAAAAATGTAGCAGCACAAGAGGGTTAATGCACGAGCCTCTCACCTCCAGAGATGTGGTTTCCAAGCCTGGTTGGGCTGTCACATCACGGGCTCAGGGTTCCCTGGCACAAGGCAAGAAACGAGGTTAGGAATTTCATAAACTTGGAATTTCTCAGTTAGATTCAGCTCTTTCTCCAACTAACAGCCAAATCCAGCAGCACCCATGTATTTAAAGTACATGGAAGTTGGGTGGAGGTGTTGTTTGCTTGACACCCCGATGGGATTGGGATTTTAAAAACCCACATTGAGGTCTGTTCAGTCAGCAAAGCATGTAAACACACCCTGGGCTTCAAGGCTATGCTTAAAAATTTTTGATATCTGATATATTTTAAATATTTATTGCTCATGTCGCATAATTAACTCTGAAAGGTGATGTTTTCAAGGATGCTGAGGCCCAGAGTGGTGCCTGCACCTGGAGTTTGGGGTGCTGTGGAAGAAACTCTCTGAGCACCAAGGGAGCATCACTGCACTCCCAGCCAATAAATAACAATATTCCATAAATCCCTCTGCAGCTCTTCCCTGCAGGGTGGGATGAGAGTCCCAGCAGGAGCCAGCCCTCCCTATGGAATGGGAAAGGAAAAAAAAATAAGATAATGTTGATTTCTGCTGTGACAGAAGAAAACTGAGAATTTTTAACATCCCCAGACAATTATCAGGCTTGTCTCTCATTTCCTGATTCTGCCTTTTCCCAAACTCAGCCTTACAGATTGATCCCAAGGGATTGCTTCCTCTGGAGTCCTCCAGACATTCCTCTAGAGTTACTCCTTGAAAACTCCAACACAAACCCTTATTTTCCTGCTCGTGTTTCTAATTTAAATATCCCTATGTCTAGCCTGCATCAACCATACACATCCTTATTCTGCATTACTACCATTCCTCTGAACAGCTCTTCCCCAGGATTTTCAGACCTGCATGAGTGGAAAATTGGCCTTTCCAGTGTTTTAGCAACATCAACTTTGAGCAGCTCTCATTGAATGGATAGAAATTAAAATTAAAATAATAGTAAACGAGAAAAAAAAAAAAACATCAAACCCAAATCCTTCAAAAGCCGCAGACCTGGAAATTTGCCTTTAACAAGGAAAAGGATAAATACTAATTTTGCTGTCTGTTAAATGCAACTGGAATAATTTTTCCTCCCAAATTGCCATTGCAATCTGTGAGATTTGTCTATGTTTGGCCTCTTTTCATACTTTTCCCTCAGCTCCCACCGCAGATCCCATCACTTCCCAACAGCCCTGGGTGGGTGGATGGTCCCTCCAACCTCATAGGACAACTCCTTCCTTTTTGGTTTTGCTGAAGTATGTCACAGATTCAAAAAATGTCACAACTGATTTCAAAAGATGAAGATTTTTTATGTCTGTCTCCCTTAAAATGTACACAAAGTGATTTGAAACTTTTAAACTTTTTTCTGTGGGTGATACTGACTTATCAGTGACCGCAATCCCCTGGGGAAGGCAGAGACATCTCCAGCAGAATCCAAAGGCATTGGGTGAGCACAGCCCTGAGCACCTTCTGTAACCAGAATAAAAGAAGAAACAAGATTATTTCTCTGTAATAATATGGAAAATACAGAAAACTTCAGAAGTTTGACACAAATCTCTAATCCACAAGCAATCACATCAGTGCTTCCTGCAGCATTCTCATTTCATGGAACCATAAAAAAGGAACCCAAACCCAGGAGGGACCAAGAAACACCTTGAGGAATGAGAGCCCAAGGTTCCATCTGAGCACCAAAGCTCATAAAAGGGTGAAAAGGATGGATCCTGGGAAGCATTTTTTTCTGTAGTGCTTTGGCATAAAGCAGAGATACAGTTTGGGATCCTAAGTACAAACTGAGGACTCCCCTTTCCTGGCAGAGCACCAAACCAGCAGGTCTGTAACTTCCAGCATCATTTCATCACTGTGGAAACCTGGATTCCACCAGATGAGGCTTCCTGATGAAACAGCTGTAATTTTCTTGGAGGCTCAGAACCAAAAGCCTCTTCAGTGTGGACAGGAGGACTGGGGAAGGTGAGGAAGGAATAACTAGAAAAAAGAAAAGCATGGAAAGCGAACAGGAATTTCCTACTTAAAGCCTTGTTCCAAGCTCAGAGTCAGATTTTCTTACCTGAATTTTTGGAGAAGCAGCAACTCCCATTCCTTCTGCTTTCCTGGGAGACAAAGAGGACTCTGCTGAAGGAGTGGATGTTGGTGCTGTGTTTTCGCCAGGATGTGGCAGGGGCTGTCCTCCTGCTCCAGCTCAGTCCCAGCCTTGCCTCAGAAGGTGATTCCTCATTCCCCACGGAAGGATCACTGGAGGATGTTCAGTGCCTTGCCCAGGGAATGATTTGGAGGGCTCTCCCCAGTGGGACTGATCCATTGGGATGAAGGGATGTGTGTGAGCCTGACAGCATCTCCCAGCTGGTCACACTTGCAGGATTCCTTTTTTTAAGGACTGAGAAGCTTTGGCAGGCAGCGGTGCCCATAAAATCCCTGTTACACAGGGCAGGGAAATGGGAGGGACACGCTGCCGCCTTCACCGTGCCCTTCAGCGCAAATCACAAACCTCAAGAGCTGCTTCTTCAAATTCCAACCGGTTTTTCTCCCTTCATTTTGATTTCCAGTGCCTCAAGCAAATGAGCCTGGGGCTGGCAGCGAGCATCGTGCCTTTTGGAGCAGGATGAGGAAAGCCTTTGTCCTGGCTCTGGAGGGCAGCCAGAGCAGAGGCCTCTGCATGGAAAGACATGTGCCTGGAGAAGGCAATATTTTGTCATATTTTCCCCCTTTTGGTTAGTGTCCAATATCACATCTCGGGTCACCTGGTGCAGACAATGAAAAAGAAAATCTCACCTGGTGCAGACAATGAAAAAGAAAATCTCACAAACACTGGGAATAGTTGCAGAAGGCCAGAAAGAAAAATAGGGGGGGGGAAAAAAATCAATTTTCCAAAAATAAAACCTTTCTCAAAAAGTGTATCCAAACAGCCAGCACTCAGCACTGTGAATAAAATTATCAGACCCAATAAATATTTTATGCTGCCATTCTAATTGCCAAAAAAAAGAAGTTAATTTCTGAAGCAAAGTTTCTCTTTTTTTATCTTTATTTTTAAACCCTTAACATAATGACTGAATGCCTAACACGAACTTGATAAATTTTTAAAAGCTTTCTTTGAAAAAAAAAAAAAAAAAGAAAAAATAATTCAAAGCTGAACTTGAGCAGGAGACCACAGGGAAGTGTCTAATCTTTAGTCGGACGCCTGGCACAGCCCCGCTCCGGCCGGTGCCAGCATTGCATTCTGACAGAACAAGTGTTGCATGAGATGTGAAGGATGACTCCGGTCTGCCGAAAAACCCTGGAGCAGGTGTTCCTCATCCTCATTTGCAATGGAGCATGGCCCCTGGCTCAGTGAGCTGGAGCAAATGCGCTGGCAGGCCCCATCATGTACCTGCGTGCTGAGATGCACTAATGATAATGGATGCAGGCCTATTAACCAGCCCATTTGTAATGGCACACAACGCTGATTGCTCGGGGAGTGAGTCAGCGCCTTTCCAAGGGGAGCGGGGCATGCCGGGAACCCATGATCCTCTGAGCATCCCTCCTGCTCGCCTGGGCCCAGGGCTCTGGTAGTCTTTATTTAATGATACAAATGAATACATGATCTGCTACATGATTATACACCGAGATAAGGCGCCGTGGGCAGCGCTGGGGCCGCGGCTCGGCGCCGCATCCGCGTGGGTTTGAGCGATTCCCTGGTTGGGCTGGGCTTAATCTGGGAAGAACCAACTCCACGGAAGAGTCAAGGGTCCAACAAGCACGCCTAAGCTTGGGGATTTGCAGAAAGCTGCTGCTGATCTTTGAGTGAATATTTTGGTGCATCTAGGGAAAAACGTTCTGCTCGGCGTCTACCCTTCATTGCCCGGCTTTCCTTGGGAGGGAAAATCCTCCAAGAATAACCTCTAAAAACACACACCGGGGCTTCATCGAGGTTTGTGTTGTTCTTAAATAGCTCCTCTGATGCGTTTTATAGAAACAACTCTTGCTGAAAGCCAGTTGCCCGCTTGTGGAATAATAGGGGAGCTCAGAATGGACGCTCCTGTGAAAAGCACTCGTTAATAAATAGATCACATTACTTGTAGGTACTCGATTCCAGGGCCAGCTTAGTTAAACAGGCCCTGTTGGGCCAGAATATTGCAATCAGCAGAATACACTGTAATTATTATTGTAAACTCAAGGCCTGGATTTGCTGTGTTCTTGGCACACCCCAATAAGCTGCTTACATTGCTGGTGCTGCAGCAGCTCTTTGGATTCCTCTGCAAAATGTGCAAAAGGGCTCTTTTGTCACTTTTTTTTTTTTTGCAAAATAGGTGGTTTGGTTGCCAATCTGGTCCAGCAGGCAAATCTCTCCAATTATTTTCCTTAATAAAATACCCAGCAGACAACACATGGAAATTTATGAGAAAGATCAGCTCTTACCTGAAGTTGTAACAACCACTTTGTATAAGTGCAGCTCCCTGTGCAATGCTTCACAAATGAAGCTGTGTAAGCAGGAAAAAAAAAAGACAATTTGTGCACATAAATTCCTGCATCAAAATTATCTGGCCCATTCTGGTGGCTTTACACCACTCCAATAATGCAAACAACTAGAAATAAAGCTCAAAAGTCGATTCAATTAATTATTTGAGTATCTTTATATCTAAAAGCAATTATATCCCATCAGCCAGATTGGATCCAACATTCCTAATTTTTTCTGCTTTTCCCTTGGCAGTCAAAGATCTGAGTTTGAATGATCATTCAGCCAAAAAAGAAAAACACCACCTAATATGAAAGAGGTATGAACACATTACACATTGACAGTGGTCAGGTAAAGGCCACAAATAAATGTCCACATAGATATAAGAGAAAATCATATTATGAGAAATTGGGTCTGCTGACCCAGGAAATATCCCCTCTGTAGAGTTCATAAAGAATGTGGGAAGAACTTGGCTATTAAATGCAACATCCCAATATTCCCAATTATCCGTATAAAATGTTGCTGCTCTGATTTTGCCTTTGCTCAACTTGCTGCTTGAAAAACCAAACTTGGCAACCCAGTCCCCCACCCCCAAGTCCTCACAACCCCCTTTGCTGGCAGCCATCAAAGGGGCTGGAATTTCTCTATATGTATTGTACAGTATATTTCAAAGGAATTTTTCTGCCATGCACAGTATATCAATACTCAATGTGGGAGTAATTTAACTTCTTAATTTATTGCAGCAGTAACAGCATTTTCAAACTGGTCATAAAATATTCTTGTACTCTTCTAATCTGGGTTTTCAATGTTCTATAATGGGAATTCTATGAATAATATTGGGAAGTGAGAGATATTTTATACGGTATCTCTAAGGGAACAGTGTTATTGCATAAAAGTTAGGTGACATGGGAGAGACTGATAGAGGTGGTGTTTAAAAAAAAATTTACCCTTCAGGATTTGTCACATGAATAATAATGATTTAGTGACATTTTTCCTTCCTAAAAATCAAATCTGCTCCAAGATAGGGTTACAAAAATATGTTCTAATTATGGATGGCTCTGAAGCATAGAGAGCAAGCACAGCAAGTATCAGCTATCTAATGGCCATTGTGAACGAGCCAAATACCCTCTCCTGTCCATTTTTGAATATATTCTGATTATTTTTGGTATCTTGCTATTATGAAGACCCCAGTGAGATCAAGGTCCTGCTGTAGGACGTCCCTCAAAGACAACAGGCACCTGCTG